AAAATATATATGGTATAGCCACACCCTCAATTAACAACTTCCTCTAGCCACACCCCACCTGCCTCTAGTTACCACTCAATTAAATCCAATTAATTTATTGATTGGGTTAAGACCTTCACAATCCAGTCACTTCTCCTCTGAAACTTCTTGCATTGTCTCACAGGTGAGCTTTTGGGAGACACTTCATATCCAAACCATAACATCTACCCTGCGAGGTACAAAATCTTTCATCAGCAAAAGTATTATAGCAAAAGATTATCAGTCTTGATTAACTAAAAGAGATCTCAATATTCAGAAATCATTTTGCTGTTATCAGTGAAAATATAATCTGACACAATTTGGGGGAAACACTGTTATCATTATGCCTGTCAAAATGCTGTCTGAAGCTACACTATTATTTAGCCACTCCATTTCCAAGATTCTATACTATAAAAATGTTCATACAGATGTTTGAAGTGTATATGGACAAGAATGTTCACAATAGAATTATTTGTACTAGTAACCAATTCAAGATAAGCACTCGATAACAAAGAAATGGTTGAATACACTGCTTTTCATTCCTACAAAATATTATGTTACCACTTAAATTAGTGAGATATTAAGATATAGAAATTACTAAAACCAGCTATTACCCTAAGTGCTTTAAAACATAAAGTCAGTTAGCACTAGTGTGGCAGAGGGAAGCAGCTCTCATCATGGTGGTCAACAAGCAGACAGAGAAACTCCAGCTCCAGATTCAAAATATATATCCTATAGCCATACCCCTAATTAACCACTTCCTTAAATTAGTGAGATATTTATTAATTTATTTGCAGCACAGGCAAGGCAAGAATTCTACCACTGAGCTAGTAAGAAGATTGTTGTGAAACAATCTGAGTTTCACTTTGAGATTGTTGCTATAATTAGCATCCCATTTTATATATGAGGAAATGTTGGCACAGAGAGGTTAAGGATCTTGCTCACAATAAAAGATCAGGGGCCCAGAGGAGAGCAGACCCAGGTGGTAAGGATTCATGGACTATACTCTTAAAGACTATGTTACATGACTTTCCGTGTAATGATATGAAAGAATATCCAAGTCATGGCTGAGTGAAATTATAAAGTTATCCAACATACAGTGGATAATGACCTGTGTTTAATAAATAGTAATTAGATCTATATGTATTCTTATATATTATAATATATAACTGATGTTATATAATATACTATATATTAAATATAATTACATCCATATATATGTGTGTATAGTAAATATATAGAGGTATTTTATATATCACAGAATTAGGTTTTTGGAAAAAGCTATTAAGATTGATTATATCTAGCCAATGAAGTTGAATAATGCAAGGCAGATTTTTATTTTTTAGTTTGTATGCATTTCTTCAATTAATTTTTAAAAGATATTATTCTTCTAATAAAACTCTTTTCCTTTATGGACATATGAGGTGAATAAAAAATAAAATTTTCTGTGTACCCATGGCAAGTAGAAAAGAAATTTCAAAGCAATTTTGGAAACCATGAGGCAAGCTGATCATTTACATCCACAGTATCTGTCCCCGTTCCTTCCCTTTAGAAAAGCTCCACCATACTTTATTTCCTCTGAAGATCTTCTCATATCTTGCAATAACAATCTTTCCAGTGCAGTTAATATTCATCTCTCTTTCTAGTTTGAAAAAGTCTTCAGTACGAGCATAGTTCACATATACGAGATCTCCCTACAGAAAAAAGAAGAAAAAAATACCACTGCTAAAATTAAAGAAAAAAAATTTAAAATAATTGTGTTTCACAAAATTGCACCAGCAGAAGGTTTTTGTTTTGTTTTGTTTTTTTCTTTTTTTGTTTTCTTCATTTTTCTCTATACTGGAGATTGAACCCAGGGTCCTGCAGCATATGCAAAGCAAGAATTCTACCACTGAGCTACATCCTCAGTCCTTTTCTTTCCTTATTTGGGATTAATAAATATGCTATTCTATAGAATATTTTAGAGAAACTATCAAAATACTGAAAAGATTGGAGAAAAGGCAATCAGTAAGACATATTTTAAGTAGTGTGGTTTCTTTTGAAGAGATTATCAGTGTGTACAGTCATAAGAACTAGAGTAAATGTCATTTAAAACATTCACAACTGTTTAATTTCCAAAATAACATTAATTTAACTGCTCATATGGTATGTAAATTCAGATTAAAAACAATGGAAATCAATTTATAAAAACATCTATTACCCTTGCTGAATTGAAATCATCTTCAGAAGTTTCTTTGTTATTGCAAAGAGTGGCCTCTGCCTTACTGGGGTCTGTTTTTAATGTATTTGTTTTCTTTTTTGTTTTAGGTAGTCTTTTTTTAATTATTCTTTTTATTTTGGGGGGCATGCATAGTACTGAACATAAAACAATAGGTGAGTATGTTTAATCTCCAGGTAAATTCCTTGGTTTCATTCCTCTACATAGTTTTCATACAATAAAGAAAGTTTTAAAAGCTTGAATTAAAAATAATAGAGATAAATAAAACTTGAATTAAAAAATGTTTTACTTTACCTCTGGCATGCCTTGGGCTGAGAAAGCATTATAGGGAGGTACAATATTTGTCACAGTCTCATATCCATCTGGAGGTGGTTCAAGATATGATGTTTTGAATACCTAGCAAGAAGTAAAGCATGTCAAGCTAGAAGATTAATTCCAGGTTATTATTAAGGTATAATTAATTTTTTCCAAGTATAGACTTAATAAGCATCCTAGATTCCATAATTAAGTAGGTAAATTCTACTGACAATAAGAAAGAGCTCTATTATTTTTTTTTCAAAATAATAAAAACTTTTATAAATGCATGTAGTCCCAGACAATTAAAAGCTACCATACAGTGTAAAATGACATCAAAGTTGGACACGGTGTCATGTGCCTGTAATCCTAGTATTCAGAAGGATGCTACAGGAGGACCACTTGAGTCCAGGAATTTGAGACCAAACTGGACAACATAGCAAGACTTCATCTCAACAAAACCGAAAAGAACAGGACTTCAAAGGCAGGACTCTTGGTTGGGGATGTGGTTCAGCGGTAGAGTGCTCATCTATCACGTGTGAGCCCCTGGTTTCCATCCCAAGCATGGAAAAAAAAAAAAATGCTAACAAAGGTAGCACACTTGTGATTTTCATTTCATGACTTTTCCTTTCAGCCTCCTTTGTGGTCCCTTTTTCTTTCATTTTTATTTGAATGTTACACATATTTTATCCCTAGCCCACCACTTGCCTTATTTTATATTCTGTGAGAGTTCATTGACTAATAAAATTTTGCCAATAGCTGTTGTGCTTATGTTGTCCAGACTCATATATTAAGAGCCCAAATAGTCACCTTCTTAGTATGCATTTCTGTATTCAGTCATACACAAAGGAAAGAAAAGCCACTCTCAAGGATGTACTTAATCATCATGAAAACTATTAATACATCATTTATCACCATATGTATGGTAATATATCCAAGGTAATAGAAAGCAATATAATATGATATATTAACATAATATATTAAACATACTTTATATATTACAGCAAAGTAATAGTAATAAAAATTTCAAGGTAAGAGCCAGCACCAAGGTTTACTCCTGATAACTCATGTAATTTTTCTAGGTGCTTTCTTTTGGACACTTCATGATATGCGGCAGAGGTCAATAATGTTAACATTTTACCTGTTTTTTGTTTTTTTTTTTTAAAGAGAGAGTGAGAGAGGAGAGAGAGAGAGAGAGAGAGAGAGAGAGAGAGAGAGAGAGAGAGAGAATTTTTAATATTTATTTTCTAGTTCTCGGCGGACACAACATCTTTGTTGGTATGTGGTGCTGAGGATCCAACCCGGGCTGCACTCATGCCAGGCGAGCGCGCTACCGCTTGAGCCACATCCCCAGCTCCTGATTTTTTAAGTTATACAAATTTAAACATGTTGTCTCATTTCAAAAGATAGTCTGCATTTTATAGCATTTTACCAAATGAGCAATATAGACTACAAGTGATAGTCATCCCATTGCCCACTCATTCTTTTTCTGTGTCTCCAAAAAGCATGTCAGAACAAACATTTTGAATTAGCTTCCTGATATCTGATGTACATTGGTCATAAATTAGCTCAAATTTTCCAAGAACAGTATAGCTGTTTTTATTCCTCATTATTGCTAATTCTAATTCATCCATGGGAATTAATATGGAATTGTGTGATCTCATTAAACCACAGCATGGACAAGGAGGAAATGTATCATGGAGTATGCACTTCAGTCTGCATATTGATCTCTAGGGTTCAATTGAACTCTCAGAAGAAGAAAAATAAAGAATATAGGGGAAAATGTCTTAAGAAATAATGAACAAAATCTTCCTAAGAAGGAAAGAAAAGTCTTTTCAAGAAATTTTACAGGAATAATTGACTATTTGTATTTAAGATTATCATCAATCCTTAGATGGCACCATATCAAAAATTAAGTCGATTTGGAACATTGACCTTAAATGTGCAAACTACCATTCTAAAACTTCTAGAAGAAAATATTTAAGACAATAGTCTCATAGACAAACTTAGATAAGACAGAAGAAGTAGGAAGCATCAAACAAACAAAAATTGATTAAATGAACTTCATTGAGATTAGAAATTTCTGATCTTCAAAAACTCCTCTATGAAAACAAAAGACCAGCTGCAGTAGAAAATATTTGTAATACATATGATTAACAAAGGACTTAACCCCAGAATATGTATTGGAAAATATATGGACAGAAACTTTATAAAAGAAGATATACTAATGTCTAATAAGAACATGAGAAGATGTTTAATATCATGAGTCATGAAGAAATGCAAATTAAAATTACAAAAATATATCACTATTCAACAATTAAATTGGTTAAAATCTGAACAACTGACAATACTAAGTATTGCCCCAGATGTGGAGCCACTAGAATACTTACACTGATGGATAGAAATATAAACTGATATGACCACTTTTGAAATTTCTTTAGCCTTTTCTTAAAAAAAAATCTAAAGGGCTGGAGGTAAAGCTCAGTGTTAAAGCACTTGCCTAGGATGTGCAAGACCTTAGGTTTGATCCCCAGCAAAACACAGAGAGAGAGAGAGAGAGAGAGAGAGAGAGAAGAGAAACACAGCAAATGCTTATCCTCCAACCCAATCATTCTAATAGAAATGAAAATATATATCACATGAAGACTTGTAACATTTATCTATATAAGCTTCTTTTACAATAATAAAAAGTAGAAGCAATCCAAATGTCCCTCAAGTATGCATTATAGCATTATAGAATATCTGTAAAATGGAATTCTACTCATTTAAAGTGATTTAAAAAACAGGAAGGAATTAGTGACACATGCAACAAAGTGGGTCAATCATTTTTATTTTATTTATTTATTTTTTTGGCAGTGTTGGGGATTGAACCCAGGGCCTTGTGCATGCCAGGTAAGCAATCTACCAACTGAGCTACATCCCTAACCACCTGAGTGAAAGAAGCCAGACAACACACAGAACGTGCTATGAACACCACATTTATATAGAAATTTATATGCAAATAAATCTATAGTGATGTAAAACTGAACAGTGATTATGTAGGGTTGGGGTGAAGGGAGGAACAAACTACAGAGGGTATGCTAGAAATATTTTGTATCGTGATTGAGGCAAAGGTTTGTTGCATACCACAGACATCTGTAAAAACTCTGAAGTTGTAGCTATTATAGAAATCAAGATTACTTTATGTAAATTATCTTTCAATAAAGCTGATTTTTAAAATATCACTTCTTTGAAACAGCCTGAACAAAGAAATAAATGTTATGCTGATTGCTTTCAACAAGTTCACAAATATCACTCTGAATATCACTCTTAGAAGATGGAAGATTGGCACTGATCATATTTTGTTTTCATGTTGCCCTATTTTTGAACCACAAATTTATATTAGCAAGAGAGGATGAAGGTTTAACCTGTGGCAGACAGAATCTGAAACACTGATCTCCTTTTCACTAAATCACTGAGCAAAGAACAAACTAAGTGAATACAGTGTGTAAAAAATAAATAAAATTGCTGATTCAATTCAGGCTACTGATTACATCCACAGTGAGGAACAAAGAATAGCATTCACTTGCAGCCCAGAGCTGCATGAAGTTGAAACATCCCCCAGTAAGCCAACAGATACTTTTTCTGGAGGATGGAATTAGGAAGAAAGACCTACTTCTTAACAAGTTACGGATTTCACACCAAGAGTGGTTTAAAGAGACATTTTAACTAACCGTAAATTAATGAGTAATATACAATTTCACACAAAGATTGTTCAACTGAATATAACCAGTTTTAATACACCTATGACTAAATAATACTTTAAATACTATGTTTAGAATAAAAATGCAAAACAAACCTACCGAAGAAATGATCTAATGTTTTCAGCTTTCATTTCTGACAACAGTTTCCCTTGTATACTTTGACCATGGTGTGGTACACAGATTGTTTCTTTGAGAGGCTTAAAAAACCAGCCTGTGGGGGGAAAAATACATATACATAATTACTTTTGACTTTATTAGAAGTAGAAACCAGCTGTGGTGCAGTGGTGTATGCCTGTAATTCCAGAAACTAGGGAAACTTAGGCAAGAGGATCTCAAGTGTGAGGACAACCTGGAACACTTGACAAGACCCTGACTCAAAAAAATGAATAAATAAAAAGAAGAAGAAAAGCAAAAACCAAAAAAGGCAAAAAGAAAAAGAAAAACTGATGCCTAACAAATAGCTCATAGTGAACTTTTAAAAAAAGATCCATATAAAATGCAGAAAACCTCCACATTCCTTTGTGTGCTGCAATTTTGAGTGGGTTAAAACCGGTTTTACTTGAGAGATGTGCTTTCCTTTCTTACATGTTTGCATCTCTGAGTTAAGGCCTTTCTTATTCTCGCCAGGGGATATAATTTGTACCAGTTCTTGACACACAGAGAGTTTTCCAAAATTTATGTATTTAAACGATAAGGAAAAAAAAGTTCTTTGCAGTGCTTAGTCATATTAGCTAATAATTTTGACTCATTACTATTACTTGGAAATGCAAATAAATTTTTCATCCCTGTAAACAGTGACAGCCCTAAATTCTCTTTTCAAAGCCCACAATAAAAGCCTGAACTCAGTGAGTTTATTTTATTTTATTTTTTTCTTATTGCGGCCACAAATACATTCTGTTCGGTTTCTAGTTTGGGTGCAGTTTATGGAGTTAGCCATGTAGTGAGCCGAACTAGACACTGGCCTGGGACAACCCACTGGCTCCAGCTACAGGCTTCCTTCCTTTACCTCCGCAGAGAGACAGCCCAGGGACTTGATTGTACACTCACCCACCAGAAAGCCCACCAGAAAAGATGCCAGCAGGGCAATCAAAGACATCCAAAGGTACAGACGGCCCCGGCCCCTGGACTTCGCCATGGCTTCTGTTCTGAGATCTGGGCGCCAGCAGCCCTCGCAAAAGCTCGGGGCTGCAGAAGAGCAGAGAGCGAGAGCCTTGAAAGCGGTGACCTCCCAGGCAGCTTTCACCGCCGCTGACCGCAGCTGACCTTCCAAAAGGCGGCTCAGCCCTGCCRGTGGGTCCAGAGACTAASGAACAGGAGCSAGCCCCCAGCTCCTTCTGGCCCCTGAAGTCCCCAGGAACCCTGGCGGGGAGAGAGGAAGCCCTGCAGAGGGAGGAGGCACTCTTCCTGTTGGCCTGCAACTTGCATTCCATGGATCCTGCAGTATCTGGGCAAAGTCGGCTGTGGCAGCTGTGGGAAATGTTCCTGCTGCCTAAAAGACTAAAGCACTGCTTCTTCGCCAATCCCATCCCAAGAATTCCGGAATCTCGGCTACAAAATGTATTTGAGCGTTATTTTTCATTCCTTTTTGATTGCTCCAGTTCCAGATTCTCGGACCCAATTTCCAACTTGTCAAACTTGGGAATAATCCAGATCCTGACTGCTCCACTGCAACTCACTAATGTCTCAACCATACATCAACACCAAAATGAGAATGAAATTCTTTTGTTCCACCCCCTCACATGAACAAGTCTCCAAATTCGGGTAATTCCTCTCTAACTGAGGTTTTCACATTCCTCACTGGAATATTATAGATTTAAATTAATACAGTTAGCCATTCAAAGGATCTTGCGTTATTACAGTCAGTGAGTTTTGAGCAAATGTCACTGCCCCAGCCCTATCTTTCCCTTACACTTACCACACATTTTCTTTAAAGGTGTTTAGAAGATTTGCAAACAGAACTCCTGCATCCATCCATCTCACCCAGAGGGAAATTTTAGGAATTTACAATGGGCTACTCATATGTAAGCAAAATCATTTTCTTTTTCAGCCAAAGCAACCTTTTTGCGTGGGATTGGAAGGAGATAGTACCTCCAGGACTATGCCCTACCTTTGCTGCATTGTCTGCAGTTCTAATGGCCTTAGACAAGGCATCTTTCTTTGTTTTTAACAAGTTATTACAATCAAATGATTTATTTCTCCCCAGTGTCATTGTTGGCTGATATATCTGATGTTTTTTTTTCCTCTTAGAACTTTTGTAAAATCCCTAAAAGTTAACTTTAAAACAAACATCTTTATTGAACTAATTGCTTTTTTAGAATATTTATATATTGTTTAAAGCCCAACTAACCTCAGCTCCTTCAGCTACTGGCCCCTTACACATTCCTCAAGTGATTCTTCTGGTGTTTTTTTATTTCAGAGACAAACACCTTTCCATGAATATTTTCTTTAAACAATAAGTTGGTCCCTAACCCTATAGATACACAGCAGCATATACAGCAAGTTAGAATGAAATTATTGATAATGTGCAACAGCTGCTGAAATAATTATCCCCCTCAATCTTGGAGCACCCAGATGTATTTTATCTGTTTTACTAATAAAGAATATAGGGCTTTAAATAACTATCTAGTGTCAAACATTGGGACAAGAGTCTTCTCAATATCTAATATATAATATCTAATTTGATTTGTGCTTCACATAAACATTTTGAGGATCGCTTATGTAATTTGTCAATTTCTAGACCTTTGGCTATTTTTTTCTTCTGTTTTTCATGAAAACTTTGCTATTGCTGTATAGCTCTCAAAAGACATATGTAAATTACCTCTACAACAAAATTTTGTTGGAGAGAGAAGGTAGAAAGTAATGATTAAAATAGCTGCTTGTTAAATTAGTTTTTTCCCCTACTCCTATCTTTTTTAAAATTTATTTATTTATTTTGACTTTTTATACATGACAGCAGAATGTATTTCAATTCATAATACACATGTAGAGCACAATTTTTTCTCTGCTTGTACATAGAGTCACATCATTTATGTCTTCATATATGTACTTAGAATAATGATGTTCAACTCATTCCACCAGCTTTCCTACCCCTATGCCCACTCCCTTCCCCTCCTTCCCCTTTGCCCTATCTAAAGTGCCTTCATTCCTCTCATGCTCCCCCTAACCCCCAGCCTTCATTATGCATCAGCATGCACATATCAGAGAAAACATTCAGTATTTGTGTTTTGGGGATTGGTTTACTTCACTTAGCATGATATTCTTGACTCCATCCATTTACCTGCAAATACCATGATTGTATGCTCTTTTAATCCTGAGTAATATTCCATTCTGTATATATATATATATCACAGTTTCTTTATCCATTCTTCAATTGAAGGGCATCTAGTTTGCTCCCATAATTTAGCTATTGTGAATTGTGTTGCTATAAACATTGATGTGACTGCATCTCTGTAGTATGCTGTTTTCTTAATACAGTTCTGTGGTGTGCAGTGTTGTGGCTGGTGATAGTCTTCATACCCTGTCCTGTGTCCCCAGGTGCAGGCTGTCACAATGAACACTACAGAAATGCAGAAAATAATTAGAAATTATTTTTAAAAATTGTACTCCAATAAATACAGTTCTATGGTGTGCAGTGTTGTGGCTGGTGATAGTCTTCATATCCTGAAGACATCAAAGACATAGACAAATTTCTAAAATCAGATGATTTACCCAAACTGAATCAGAATGATATACACAAGTTAAACAGATCAATTTTGAACAATGAAACAAAAGACACCATCAGAAGACTACAACCAAGTAAAGCCTAGGACCAGATGGATACACTGCTGAGTTTTAGAAAACCATCAAAGAAGAACTAATACCAATACTCTTCAAATTATCCAATGAAATATAAAAAGAGGGAACACTTCCAAACTCATTCTACGAGGCCAATATCACCGATTCGAAAACCAGATAAAGACACATGAAATAAAGAAAACTTCAGACCTATATCTCTAATGAACATACATGCAAAAATTCTCAATAAAATTCTGGCAAATCAAATACAAAAACATATTAAAGTGATACAGCACCACAATCAAATGAGATTCATCCTAGGGATGCAAGGTTGGTTCAACTTCTGGAAATCAATAAATGTAATTCATCACATCAATAGACTTAAAGATAGAAATCATATGACCATCTTAATAGATGCAGAAAAAAGCATTCAACAAAATGCAGCACCCTTCATGTTCAAAACACTGGAAAAATTAGGGATAACAGGAACATATCTCAACATTGTAAAAGTTGTTTATGCTAAGCCCAAGGCCAACATCATTCTAAATGGAGAAAATATGAAAGCATTCCCTCTAAAAACTGGAACAAGACAAGGATTCCCTCTTCCACCACTTCTATTTAACATAGTTCATAATACTTTATCCAGAGCAATTGGATGAAAGAAATGAATCGAATACTGATAAAAAAAAGAACTCAAATTGTCTATTTGCTTATGACATGATTTGTATGAGAGCAGCTGTTGAAGGTCCTCTAAAAACTTGCAGACAAACAGTATTTCCACTGCTTGAACCCCAGGTCACAAAGCTACAAAGAATGACATCTCTCTCTAGCCTGCCATCTGGATCCTCTACTTCTAACTTAATTATACTAATTGAAGTTTGACTAATAGAAAAATTGATGTATTATTTAGCAACATTTTCCAAATTGTCTAATTTTCCCATATAAAAATTAAATCACTGCTGGGCACAGTGGTACATGCCTGTAATCCCATAACTTGGGAGGCTGAGGCAAGAAGATCACCAGTTCAAGGTCAGCCTCAGCAATTTAGTGAGGCCCTAAGCATTTGGTGAGACCCTGTCTCAAAAAAAAATAAAATAAAATAAAAATAACAAGGGCTAGGGATGGTGCTCTGTGGTAAAGTATCCCTGAGTTTAATTTCTGTACCCTCCCCCAAAAAAGGTTGGTTTACTAACTCAACCAACACTTATTGAAATGCTATAGCATGCCACTCATTGTGCTTAATCCTGAAATTAGTATCATTTTATTTATAAAACCTACAATGTATGAGAAGACAGATAATGATTAAATAATTAAAAGTAACAGTTTCAAGAAGGAACAATATTTCCTCAAATATGAACATTATTATGCCCTATTAGGCAGCATTTGTAATCTGTATCTTGACAATTCATTATGAAAAGTCCAGTTAGTTTGTTCAATAAGTCTTTGGCCTTTTGTTAATAATAGAATCTGCAAGCATTCAAATTTCCATTTTAATTAAGCTCATAACAGAAGGGGTCACTATCAAAAAATAGTTTCTAATTATTAACATCTCAACA